CCCCCCCCCCCCCCCCCCAGTAAGAAGCTGCCCGATCCTGGCACAGATTCACAGGCCTGCCCACACAGACGCTGAGCGACGCATTCATGTGGTGCCCTCGAAAAAACTCAAAGCTTGATTGAGCCGGCACACGAAACTTGGTAGAATTGCCACGGGCCTTCTCATTCTTGAGAGCGAGAGAAGAAGAGGGAAGGGACCCCCCGCCAACGAAAAAGCGACTCTGCTTTTGGACAAGAGAGGAAATTCACATCAGGAGCAGAATCCCAGAGACCTCTCTGAGCGTTCAGGAACGGGGACGGGAGAAGAGGCCGCGAGCGCACACCAAGCGCAGAGCGCTGCTTTCTGCCAAGCCTACGCGAGCTTCCATTCAATTCCCCATTCTCTGCCTGCACTGGCTGGATGAATGGATTTCTGTTCCACATCCCAGAGGTCTTGGAGGAGGTGGAGGAGAGCCCGCCTTCAAAAGACCATTTTCACCATCCATTTTCTCTCTGTCTGATTATGACCTTCCTTTGCTGGCCAAAACAAGAAGGGAAGAAGGGGGACCACTCCGGTTTTGGTGTGTTTTTTTGCTCTGGAAAATCCAGACTTCTGGCCTTGCCTGCCTCCAGCGAGGCTCCTGGCCTCGGGCCCTTGGCTTACCCCGGGGGAAGAACGTTTTGCCGTCACACCAAGTCTGCAGCCTTCCTTGGCAGCCGAAGCAGCAATGGAAACTGGCATGAACCCTTTGGAGATCCTTCCCACCACGAGGGGCACCAACCAAACAGCCACAGAGGCAACTGTCGGGGGCATCCGACTTCCAACAAATCAGGGCACCTGCCCAGGCGAAATCTAGTGGGCGGCAGATCAGAGAAGTCTGCTCTAGAGACGTACCTCTGGGGAAGGGAGAGGCTGCGGGGCCCTGCCCTCCACCTGGAGGCCCTCTGAAACACGAGCAGAGTCCTTGCTATTCAAGAAAACCGACAACATTTTTGTTAACTAGCAAAAGAGAAACTGGGACTAATTTTAGGAAGAGAGACCGGGAAGTGGCCTTTCACACAATATACAGCACCAGCAATAGAGCAAATCCTTCCGGTAGTCAGAGAACATACATGAAGTCCTACTTTACATACATCCCCCCTAATATTCAATTGAGGTAATGTCTCAAAACAAGGACAACTGAAGTGACAAAGTTGGAAAACACCATTGTTCTAAAGCCGGGAGCTTTTAAAAGATTTCTGATTAGTTAAAACAACTGTTTTAAGGCAGCTGTGTCAATTGGTTCGAGGTAGATCCCCTGAATGGTTGGGACCATCCAGATGATCAACCCCAAAAAGATTTAAACCCCAAAGGAGCAAAGATTCTGAGATAAAAAGACAGCACTGAAAAAACACTAACTACGGAAAAATAGTCCACACCGTGCTAGTTACTAGAGACCCCACAGCCCATCCTTAGGCCTAGGCATTGAGACTCTATCGCCTATCGTTCTCTCTGAGTTCCAGTACCCACAGGTTCGCCGTTTAACACGGAGGCTCCATTCAGGCCTAAAGGCAATAGCAACATGGCTTAGCTCCCTCCACGGATTTCTCCAAACTGCTTTGAAAAGCATTTAAGCACAATTCCTCACCTCCTCTTCATGGCAGCAAGATCCCAGAAATTTAACTATGTACGGAATGAAGAGGTTATTTATTTTGTGGGTCTCGCAGGTGTTTAGGATGGGGAGGAATGAAAATGCAGCGAAGGGAAGGATTTGCGGTAGGAGAAGCAAGACCTGCTGTGCGCCAGCCCTCAAAAACAGAGATGGCTTACCTTGGGGGGATCAAACAATGCCAAGGCGTAATTCTGGCGGTCCGAAGGCCCTTCTTTGTACAAAACTAGCCGGCATTTCTGCCAGCGGGTCCCACTGTCCTCCATCACCATCATGTATTTCAGATTACCCTCTTTCTGGACTTGAGATGAGAGATCTTGTGAGACAGTCCAAGGGAAGAACTTTCGGGCAAGGCCAGATTTCAAAACCAAGTCCGCCATTTCCCCTTCGCCAGGGGCCGGCTCTGAGGATCTCCGACGGAACAAACTACGCCAGCTCCTCCTTAGCCGGTCCAGGGAAAAATGTCTCCTGACAGCTGACGAAGAAGTGGGTCCTGCAAGTTCTTCAGAACTCCAGGACTTGGGAAGCCCACGGGGCCGGGCCTCAGATCCCCGGTCCACCTGGTCCGACAATTCCACCTCAACCTTGGTCCCAACCGTGCCCGCGGAGCCCTCCGCATGCTTCTGGCCAGTCTCCCTGTAGTCTCGCACTCTGCTGAAGGGCAGGATACGGAACGGATTCATAGTAAAATTATCCTTCACCTCATTGCGGAAATACTGTTGGAAGAGGTCAGCAAACTGCACGGAGAAGTTCTCGGCTGCCAAGACTTCATGCTGGGGGTTCTCACTGACAAAGTGGAGGTACTTCCTGGCCAGCTCTCTGGCGGTGGTGATGGCATGCCGCTCGCAGAACTCGTTCCACCCACTGGGGCGCAGGGGGTCACCTGATGGGACAGCGTGTCCATTCATTGCCGAGACTGGAGATATCCTGATGTTCTGCAAAGGAAACAAGAAACAGACACACACAACAGGGAAAAGAAATGGCGTGAGGGACTTGCAAGTTGAAAGTAAGACCAATCCAGAACTAACAGCACAGAGGGTTAGTCCAGCCAGCTGGGAGCATGTTGGAAAAGGACAGCCGACCAAGGAACACACATGAACGAGATATCGTCACTATATAAGACACAGCCATTCGACGGCAACATATAACTGGTTAGCTATGCAGAAGATTCTTGGACATAAAACAGGGTCCTACTCTGCTGATTAAGGAAACCAGCCAGGTTTGTTACTCTCTTCCTCAAGCTGTGCGTAAAACTTCATAAAAGCACATGAGGCACACAGAGGACCTTCCAGCAAGATTTCCCAGGACAGTCTCTGGAAGCCATCTCCACCGATGCGAGGGATTGGGGTGCTCAGCATGCCAGCACAACTAGCCCACAGGCGACCTTTTTTCATTGGTTATGAACTACATGAGCATGGCACAGTTCAGGTGGGTGCAACGCTCTTCAAACACGACCCAACACGCCCTGGAGAAAGTGAGCAAGACGGGAGACTCCCATGGCACATTCCTAGACAGCACCACTGCCACTGAGAGGTGGAAGGGCAAAGTAGAAAGGCGGAACATAAATCCACCTGCCAAGCCTGTTTTTGCTCAGAATGGGCTCTTTTTCAGCCAGCACAATCTATACCAACATAGGAGTGTTTGGGCTTGTGGGTGGTCTAAACTGGAGATCTGGGTCGCCGTCTCTCCTCGCCATCACAGACCCTCTGAACACCGAATGGAACAAGTCCTGCCCTCTTTGTATACGCTGGATTTAAACATTAAAATAGACCTACTGCATGTTCCTTGCTCTGGGAGTCATCCAGCACAGATGGATGGTGCCCGGCTGGGAAAAGACAGAGAGCACTTCCTCAGCCGCTGGCCCCCGTCTTACACACACAGGATCCTCTGAGGACCGTTGTGCCCTGCGAGAGAGCCATCACGTGGGCGCGTAGAAGGCCCAGGCCGAACCTCATCCAGCCGTAGCTCTGCCAAGGCGTGGGATTCAGTGGTCAACTCTGCAGGCTCCCAGCCCAGAGATTGGCAACAGCCTCCTCTCCTCTCCTGCAAAACTGTTTTTTATCGTTGTCAGGCACGCCGCTGAAACAGGAAACGTGTTCGTTGCGCGGCCCCACATTGCAGTACTCGTGCAAGCAGGCCCAAGGACTTCCTCACCGCAGCGTGGGCCATCAGGGGTCACCTTGAGGAAGCCTTCCTGAGAAAGCCTCAGGGTCCTTTCACCAAGCCAGACCAAGAGGCGAGCAAAGCGCCCCTCTCCCAAACGTTGTGGGGCAGCCTGCAGAACGCCTGTTTTCCCAGCCAGCTATGAGTCAGACTAGAGCATTTAAATGCTTTTGAGTGTGTGCACACCGAGAGACACACCCACACACACCCAATGCTTTCACCTTTCTATTAGGCAACTGGGGCCCTTTTTAAGTGCCTGAGTGAGATAAACCTCTCTGGGTGTATTCATACAGCACGTAGGTTTGCACACATGCTTGCTTGCTCACACATGCACAAAGCCCCCCAATTCAAAGGCCTCTCAGTGACCTAGCTTACACTAAGCCATAACCCAAGATTCACAAACCACAAGGTTTGTGCGTGCACATTCCATCAAGCCATAGGCCAACCAAGCCACACAATGAGCCAGTGCAAGGAGTGAACCAGTGCCACTAATTTATTGCCCCAATATAAATCTTTAAAGCGCTTGGATATGCTTATAGGTAAACCCCGCAGCAATTCTACCAGGTCAGAACAGGCTATGAGAAAGAAAGCAGTATTCAGTTCCATCGCCAAGGAAAGACGTTTGGTCTCTCGCTTCTGGCGCATCCCGCCTGAATGGGGCAACAGGAGCTGATCTGGCTGCCGAGCCCTGCTGTGACCACTATGCCTCGCCAGCCCAGTTTCCCTTTCGGGAGAGAACCCTGCATCTGGGTTCTGCTTTTTAGAGACGGGTAAAAACAGGCAGGTCCCAATTCAGTAGCAGCATTTTGGACACAGAGGAAGACGAAGTATAGAAAAGGAACAGATTGCGGGGATCTGGGCATTTCCCCATTCTGTCCCTTTTCTTTTGGTGGATAAAATGGGCGCCCTCCAAGTGCTCGGACCACAGCTCCCCCGGAGCCCGGCCTGGACAGCTAATGGGCAGGGATTGGGGGAGATAAAGCCCCAAAGCCTTGGAAGACGCCAGCTCCCTTATCCCCACCCTGGCGTTTGGCTCTTGGGCACCCAGTCACATGGTTGCAACGGGGAGACGTTTGTGAACATCTCGTGGCTTCAGAGAGGGAAGGGATGCTGCAGCAGCAGCAGGAGAAGACACGGAGCCACACGGAGCTCTCGGAAAGTGGAGCTCAGCTGGTGGGGTGGAGCGTGTCCGGCCCACAGGCAGGCACCTGATGGGCTTCGCGAGCAGAGGCCAACCGGGGCCCAGGAAGGATCCCATCGCAGGCCCCAGCACAGCCCCCCAGCACGCCTATGTACTCGTGGGGCGGAAGGGAGACCAAGAAGCAAGAGCCCTCCCATCGCAGAAGCCGGCCTATCCTAACCGGGGGGATCGCATCATTGGCCAGGCATGGCCACCGTCCTTGAAAAAAACACACAGGCTTTGGAAACCAACCCGAGAGACGCCGCAAACCCACTCCGGAGCCGAAACAGCATGCCGCGTAACCGTGCTTCGTGCAGCAGGTGCCCGAGCCTCTTGCCCCCACGGGGCCCCCAGCTCTCGGTCTATCTGTGTGACCAGCCTGGCAATGACTCAGCACCTCGCTTCCTTCCACCCGCCGTTCTCCTGCCCCTTCTCGAGCGATCCAGTGGTCCCTGGGAAACCGAGGCAGAGGAGCTATGGCTTTTAAAGAGGAGCTTCTCCACGTCCAGAGGCCCCACCCTAACCGCTTCTGCCTTCCAGAGAGGCCATCTTTGAATGGGCTTTTCCAAAGGCACAAAAAAGTGGACACACCTGGCCCGTGGCCATCGCGAGGGAGGCGGCCTGGGCCCCGACGGCCGCAAAAGTCTCCTTGGCGTCCACCAGCGTAGAACCCGCAGCCAGAGGCGGAGAGGGGAGCCGGGCCGTGACACGGGCCTTGGGGCAGAAAGTTATGTAACGGCGCTCCGGCGTCACAGAGCAAAGGAGCGCTGTGGGGGCACGGCGGCCGGCCTCGGGGGCGAAGGGAGAGGAGAGGCGAGCGCTGGCAGAGAAGCCGGGGCAATGGCGAAAGCGAGGCTTTCAGGGAAGACGCTTTGGGGCACACAGGTTCTCAGCGGCCAGGAAGGGACCATTCTGACGCGCATTTACAGCAGCGCTCCAAAAATAGAATGGCTTAGAAGTGTCCCCCCGGCTCTGTTTTGTTTTTTCAAATGCACAATGCCTTTTTTCTTACTTGCCCTACAGAAGGAAACTCACTCCCAAACTTCCCTTTGTTATGAAAGCCGACTGGGCATGGTGGGAAGGGTTGTTCCCGTGTCAGCGGGCATGCCAGGCATGGGAAGGAAGAGGGGGTTGAAACAGCCAAGGACTATCCCCCCCCTTTCAATTCATACTGGGCACCATCAAGTGCCTTTAAAGGCGGCCTGGGCTCCTTTGGGACAGAAATGGCAGCTTATGAGCTTTTCAGAGGGGGGAGCTCTGGACCCACCACAGGGTCCTGCAGCTTGGCCTCCGGTGGCTTTTCCAGCAGCGCCGCCCCATCGTCCAGGGGGAGAAAATGAGGAAAAACCAGAGCAGAAAGAGAGAAGAGGCCAGGCCGACGCTGCAAAACAAACCCAGAGCACAGAGCTAAAGGAAGTAGCAGCCGGCCGTGTCTCTGTTGCACCCTGGTATTTCTTGGAAACGTTTGCTCTTGAGCAGACAGGTCCAAGTGCCACCAACCCTGCGGGCCTTCTGGGCCTCCCCCAGCTTCCCACGGGCCAAACCTGCGACACCAGCACTGCGTGTGAAGCAAGCGTGCACCTAGACTCGGCACCCGCCCGGGGTTGCACGCCAAACCCAACTGCAGTGAAGCGTATCCCTGAGCTTGATGTGGCGATAAGCTTCTGAGAAACACCCGCTTTTGTCAGGACAGCAATCTGGGCAAGAGAACAACCCAGGCCGGCTTCTCTCGCAATCTCCCAGCTCTCAGTTAACCCAAGGGCTTGCAGAAAATAAAACAGCAGCAGCAGCAGCAGCAGCAGCAGCACCAGCAGGTCTACAGCAAGGTGTCTGCCGACGAGGCGAGGGCGCTCTGGGTTTGCCACTTGGCTCTAACAATGGCCCACCCCAAAGGTGTTTGGAGCGCAGGAAGTATTTCAGCCCCCTGGGGTGGCCTGGGAGGGACAAGGGTCCTCGGCTCTTGGGCTGCCCGCCCGATCAACCCGCGCGTAGGTTTCCACCCCGAGCAAGCGTCCTCGCCCTCCAAAGAGCCGCACAGCCTGTTCCTTGTTCTCCACAGCCTCTCCGAGAGTGCTGCGTGTCTCTGTGCGAGGGAGACCGGCAGCTCTCCCCGTCCCTCTCCGATCCCAGCAGGGTCATCCTTCCCACGGTCCCAAAGGACAAGCTCCCAACTCAACAAGCCCGCCACTGGGGCTTCCACCGAGGGCGAGACAGTGAGCCACGGTTCCCCTTACCTAGCCAGATGCTCCACCTGCTCTCCTTCCCTCCCGGAGGACTCCCTGCCTTGGCCCCAGCAAAGGTGGCACTCCGTGAGAATCCTCCCGCCCGTTTGCCGCATCCTAAATGGGCCCTCCTGTAAGCGCTGCTCTCGGGGGAGCAACTATGGCCACTGCTGGGAGTGACAACATTGGCTTGTTCTTTGGCAGCAGGTCTGGGGAGGCCTCTAGTCAGCGACCGAGGGTCTCTGCCGCCCAGGGGTGGACGCCGAAGGAAGAGGCCTGAAGCTGGGCCTCACCCTGGCAGGAAGGGGAGAAGGGGGGCTCGTGGACGGACCTCCAAGCCTCCCAAGGCTCTCGGTGTCCTGAACAGGCTGAGAAGAAGCTGAAAAGCCATGCAGGAGGGAGCTGCCATGGAAGACGGTCTTCCGAGAACTGTTCGGCAGGTGCCCTGAGAGGCAGGATGATGGGGCGAGGAGTCCTGCTGCTGATCCAGCAGGACTTGGACGCTCAGTCTGACCCCTCTCCTAAGCCCATCCGAACCCAGGGAGGCCCCCAACCAACGGCCTACTCAGCCCAGCCCTGCTCCTTGCTCGCCACCGTTGACCTACAACTCTGGGTCTTCAAAGGTATACTGCCTCCGAAGATGGATGTTCCACCCAATCAACCCAACCATTCTGGAACAGAGCCAGCGGATCCCATCCCTTCTGGAAGTCCTCACAGCCAGCAGCTGCCTCTCTATGGGCTTCCTTCAAGCCCCACAGTGGCGGGGGGGGAGATTTAGACCAAGGCACTGGGAGGCCGCTAGGCGTGGATCATCTGTCGGCCCCCGCTCCCCCCTTCCTCGGCTTGATTGCCG